GAATGCTGCATTCTTCTTTATATAGTCCCAAACCACAGAGCATTTGCTCCGCACACAGACGGACTGTGTATGGTGAAAGGCTGTAACCCTGACCTACACCTTTCCTGATTCTGAAACATCTCCTTGTTCGGGTTGAATGGTTGCTTCTTGTTCTATCTGTGTGAGTCCCACAGGGGCACAAAGAAGGTCGGGAATCCCCCTTTTCTGAAATGCTACCCACATTGGGTGATAATCCCAGGAGTTCAATGCCTCTGTACCATCAACGTAACACAAGTCAATGTCTTTCCGCTATTCCCTACTTTCAGTCAAGCTCTATCTGATATCAGCAATGACATCCATTATCCCGAGTCCTCTCACCTTGACTTTCTGGCAGTCACCTGCCGATGTAGCACTGCAGTCAATGTCTGCTTGTCTGCTGCACAGTTGAACGTGTGTGTGGCATCAGTCATCCGGCTCGATACTTTCTGAATTCTGTTGGATCACCCTCCTTTCTTTGGAAAGGACACAAAGAGGTCCCTTTCTGCTGGTTGGTGTGATGCTGTCTTTCAGATTTCCTGGCACAGCCTCGCGGGCCCCTCCAGCACCATATGCATTTGTTGAAACATGTCAGTGAGCATTCTGTCCATCTGGAGCCTTGCTTTTCCCAATACCTTCAATGCAGCTGGAATTTCTCCCTCCAATACCATCGGTTCTTGGCCGTGTGCTACCTCCAGAAAGGGCTGAATGTTGGCCAATTCTTTTCAGTGCCATGACGCTGTGTAATCTTCCATCTGGTGTCATTCAATAACTTGATTATTAAAAAGAATTCAGCCCACCCACCAAGTCCATGTTGACTCCTAGCAACCCGACAGGACAGGGAGAGATGCAACACCCCTGTGAGTTTCTCAGACGGTCACTCTTTAAGGGAATCGGAAGCCTCAACTTTCTCGTGTGGAGCAGTGGGCGGCTTCAAGCTGCCAACCTTGCAGCTACCAGCCCCACGCATAGCCACTACGCCACCAGGGCCCCTTCCTTAGAGAGCGCCTCCTGTAATAACTTGGGGCTCGAATGATTTTCTCTATTTCTTTCAACCTAAGAGATGCCAGTGCACTCCCCCTTTGCCTTGCTAAGCCAGGCCTCTGCTCGGTTCAGTGCTGCTGTTCTTCGTCTTCCTGAGCGGCCCTTTCACGTCACCACTTCTTCCATTTGCCTTTGTTACTCTCTGCGACCAAGAGCGACCTTCAGAGTCTCTTCTGACATCGACTTGGAGCTGTTCTTTCATCTTTTAAATGACCTTTTGCTTTCTTCACGTAGGCTGTCTTCAGCGGCATCCCAATCTATTCTTAAAACCAGGGTCCTCAAACTTTCGAAACAGGGGACCAGCTCACCGTCCCTCAGACCCGTTGGAGGGCCGGATTATAATAAAAAAAACTATAAACAAATCCCTATGCACACTGCACATATCTTATTTTAAAGAAAAAACAAAACGGGGCAAAAACACTGAGTGGGCTGGATAAATGTCCTCGGCGGGCCGCATGTGGCCCGTGGGCCATAGTTTGAGGACCCCTGCTTAAAACCATTGGATGGAAATAAGAAGCACGCCGAGAGCTGGTTTCCCTTTAAAAGCACACTGCACACCAAGGTTATGGGACGGATAGCCTAGATGCAGGCAGGCGTTGCCTGATGGACATGAAGCAAGGCCACAGGGGGCCCAGAAGTGGGGAGCGGCGATGGCTGGGGACATGGCACACTGTAGGAGTGGGGACAAGTAAGGCAGCCTGCCTAACTTATCAGTAGTGGACACTCAGACAGAGCATCGCCTGCTTCTGTCCCTGGCCTTAGTAATGAGAGCCAGTTCCTGCTCAGACACCACCGCGGGCCAGGCACTGGCCATCCAGCTACTTCTGACCAGCGTTGGGCCCCATCTGCCAGTGCAGGATTTCTGCATGGATGGTCAGGAGCAGATCACCAGCCCTGTCTTCTGCAGTGTCTCTGGGTGGGGTCGAACCGCCAACCTTTCAGCTAGGGTGTGCCTGCTCACCCACATGTGACACCAAAGGCCCTGTAAGCATTTCCTTTTCCCCTCTAAGGTTTGGGTAAGCATTCCAACATCACAGATATGGAATGTGAGGTAGGGGAGGGCCCACACGGTAGATCTGTCTGACCCCCATGTCTCGGTCCTCCTATGCCATCCCACAGTGCTTGCCCCAGCCCACAAGGGCTGGGCTGCCTTCTCCCACCCAGCCCCTGTCCGCAGAGCTCACCTCCCGGAGGGAGCCCCGAGTGCTGAGGAACTTGTAGATGATGTAGACAGGCACCAAGACCATGGAGGAGAGGGCGATGGCCCAGCCGACCCAGTTCGCCCAGTGTGGGAAGACGTAGTCATCGTAGGTGAGTGGTTTGAAGTTGATGACGCTGACCACCACTACAAACTGGAGCCCAGAGCAGGAGGGGGGCGGGCAGAAGGAGGGCGGGGGGAGACAGAGAGGGAGAGAGAGGGGAAAGAGAAGGAGATGGGAGAAATGGAGGTGAGATGAGGTGAGAAGTGGGTTATTGGGAAGGAGGAGGTGGAGCGAGGGAGGGAGAGGGGAGAGAATTCCAGATGACAAAGAGGAGGTGGAGAGGATATAGTGGAACCGGGTCAGGGGTGGAGAGGGAAGGAGGAGGGCATGCTTGGTGAGGAGCTGGGCTTCGTGGGGGTGCACACAACCCCCAGGGTCCCAGACTCCAGACCACCCTCAACTGGAAGCACATCTTGGCAGCAACAGCACCAGGCATCCCAACTGTCACCGCCCCAGAGCCCCCTCCCTGGAGAAACAAAGGTGCCCACCCCAGAACTCCCCCTCCCCCATCCAGGACACAGCCCCCTTGGCCCCTCTCTTGGCCACAGGCAACACACCAGGAGGAAGGCAGGACTGACAAACTTCCAGCAGAGTCTCCAGTAGAGGCCTGGCTTAAACCCCATCATCTGCTGGATGTCGTTGCTGAACCTGTCCACACCTGCACACACAGGGCAGGCCCGTCAGCCCCAGGCCATCCCCCCTCCCTCCCTGCTGCTGCCCTCCCACCAGACTCAGCCCCTGGGGAGGAGGGAAGGAGGCGAGACAGGGACGTCCTGGGCCTTAGGGGGACTGGAGATGGCTCTTTGCTGGCCGCAGAGCAAAGGTGAGGAACAAGTTGAACACATCACTACCTTCTGGGTGCCTGGCCGAGTCACATTCCAGAGGAAGACAAGGGCTTAACAAGACGGAAGAACCTGTCTTGGCCAGGTCTGCCTGCTTGCAAAGCCCTACCTCCCTCTTCTTCCTAGTTTATTCTTAAAAAAACAAACAAACGGCACAGCACGTTCCCTGACTTTGAGGGCTTTCGGGTCTCTTGCTAGAGGGGCACTTCCAAAGTTGAGCAGAGACAATTGGCCCCTGGAAGGGATCTGTTGGACTCTGGGATTCGCAAAAGCCCCTTTGCATCTCCAGGGGCATGAGGAGGGCCCCCCCCACCCTGCCCTCAGGGAAGAGTACATACCATAGAACCAAGAGACCCCGATGGCTTCCATGAGCACAGCAAACAGGATGGAGGTTCCCGCCGCGAAGGTGTCCAGCAGGGTCAGCACGTAGATCCCCCCCTGGGACATGGGGAGGGCACTGAGGCCAACTTGGCTACATGTGACCATGCCTATTGCATCCATCACAGCAGGGTCCCCTCCCAATGCCTCCACTCACTAAGAGGGCCAGGATGCTGTGGTACTAGTGCTACCGGTTTACCGCTAGCAATAGCTTCTGGCGCCCCTAGACCTAAAGGTAGGTATTGCAGCCAATTAAGAGAGTAGTGGGTTTCCAAGGGACTCTTCCTGTCCCTCAAGTGAGTAAGCAGCCCAGGAGGTAGCCTTGGTATCAGAGTTGAGAGAAGAGAGGGATCGAAACCAAGAGGGGGCACAAAGAGAAATTAACTCCCACCTCCCTTCGCTGCCGAGGGCTGGGGGGTCACACCATGGTTGCCCCTGGAGCTCACCTGGCCCTGCCTACCCCCGGCGCCAAGGCAGGCTATGTCTCACTTTATGGAAACAGCCCCCCAGCTGCAGGCAGGTCCAGCACCCGGCCCGGCTCACCTTGGTGATGCAAAACAGGGCCAAGAGGAAGGTGCCAAAAGAGACCCCAAACGTGAAGAGCTTCCGGTGCCGCTTCAGGACCTGGAAGTCGTCGGCCAGGCCCGTGATGACTGCCTCCATGCCCCCCATCTGCGGGGAACCGAGCAGGTGGGCCTCGGACTCGGACACGGGCCCAGGCTTAGACGCCCCTCGCTCCCGGGCTGCTGCCCTGCCCGTCCTGCCTTCCCTCCGCACCATCCGGCCCCGCTTCTGCCCTGTTCTCAACCAAACTCGGAAATGGTGTGGGAGAGGGGGTGGGTCAACTCATTCTCCCTGAGCTCCCACCTGCCCCTGTGCCACTCACTCAGCCTGCTCAGGACCCGCGACGCTTACAGCAGAGGGAAAGCGGTGACCGCCAAGACACCCGTACCTTTCTAACCTAATATGATGTGTGAAGATCCTAATACTTAGAATACAGACGTAAGGGTCTTCTGGAAACAGCTCCTAAAGAAGAGATTCTCATGGCGGGAGCTTCAGACACCGGTTTGTGACAAGGAATGTTGGCTGCCTTCCTAATTAGCAAGGCACCCCGGGAGGCACCGTGGTTACATGTCAGGCTGCTAATTGCAAGGCCAGCAGTTCGAAACCACTACCCACTCTGAGGGAGAAAGACAGACTTTCTACTCCCGTAAAAAGTTGCCTTCTCAGAAACCCACAGGGTTCTACCTTCTCCTCCAGGGTCACCCTGAGTTGGCATCGGCTCAGTGGCAGTGAGTTGGTTTTTCGGGTTCTCATGATCCAGCCCAGTGGTTACCCCAGGTCCCAGTCTCTCGGTGTCTGAGGGCTCTCCCGTCCCCCAGGTGTTGGCAAGTTTATTCTCAACAAGGCCACAGCTGCAGCCTCACAAAAGTAAAGCGGCTGTGCTTGGTTAGGCGGGGTGGCCGCCAGCGGGGAGACACACCACCTCGACCCCGGTCAGACGTGTCCATCAAATCACTGGTCTGTCCTGTGAGCCTGGAAGCAGCTTCGTAATCCTACTCAACGCCCATCAAAGGGAGACAGAAGGGAGAGGAAACCCGCTTGCCAGCCTTCCTCAGACACTTTTTGCCATGTCCAGCTACGCTGAGCCTAAGGATGAGGCCTGGTGGCACAGTGGTTGGGCATTGGGCTGCGAACTGCAAGGTCAACAGTTTGAAACCACCAGCCACTCCATGGTGAAAAGAGGAGGCTTTGTAGTCTCGGAAAGTCACAGGGAACAGTTCTGCCCTGTCCTGTAGGGTACGCTATGAGTCGGCATAGACGCAAAGGCATTAAGTTTGGTTTGGGTTTTGTGGATAAAAAGATGTCAGCAACCAAGACTCACAGATAAGTAAAATCCAAGGATCCAAAAAACTAACCAAGGCTCTGTTGGTTGTCCATGAGGAGTGATCAACAAGAGTTCACCCTCTCGGGGGTCAGGTCCCCCAGCTGCCAGCAGAATGCTGGGCTTGGATTTCCATGTACCAATGAGTTTTCTATGGGTTTTTGGCTTTGGCCTTTCTGGGTGAGGACTCCCTTCCTGGTCTGGATGTGAATAGGGTCGTCTTGGAGACAATCACTGCACCGGGGAGAAGCAGCGGCACAGATGTGGGTCAGGGGCCACCACAGGGCGTGTCCTGAGCAGGGTCACTCACCGAGCTGTCGATGCCCAGGGCTAGGAGCATGATGAAGAACACGACGGCCCAGAACGTGGATCCCGACAGGGTGGAGATGGCTTCAGGGTACAGGATGAAGACGAGGCCAGGTCCTACAAACACATCAATGGTCTCGTCAGTGGCTGGGACTGTGAATGGTAGGACAGGTGTGTGAGGGCCTCGCAGCCCACACCCAGCCCAGTGACACCTGGCCAGCCACATGGATGGAGGAGCAGACTAAGGGGGGACCAGAGATGGCAGATGAAGCCAGCAGAAACTTAAAATCCCCAGGACACGCAGGATCCCTGGTGGCATCGTGGTTATGTGCTGGGCTGCCAACCACAAGGTCAGCAGTTCAAAACCACCAGCCACTTTGTGGGAGAAAGAAGCTGGTTTCTACTCCTGGGAAACCCCAAGGGGCAGTTCAGTTTACCTTAACATCGAGGGTCACTAGAATTCAGAATCAACTTTAGGGTCATGAGTTTGGTTCACTAGTCTAAAAGTTAACAGTTCAAACCCACCCAGAAGGCTCACAAAAGAACAGCCTGCCAATCTGCCTTGATAAGGTTACAACCAAAAACCAAACCTCATACTGCACCGGAGCAGGTCTACTCTCTAGCCAGGCCTTGCCATGAGGGGGAATCGACCTCATGACACCGGGCTTCAGTGGGGGTGGCTGGAAAAGTGAAGGTACCTGATGTGGTCAGCACATGGGGCTGGCACAGAGATCACCTAAAATCCCCACTGCCAGCCTCAAAGGAAAGTGTATCAGATAGGCCATGTGGGAAGCTCCAGGTCTGATCCTCGGAGTCCCCAGTCACACAGGAGGATTCCGCAGCCCCTCCTTGTTGGGCAGGGGACAGCGTGGATTGTTCCCCCACCTTCAGTGGCGACATCCTCGATGTTGACCTTGTGCTCATGGGCCATGTACCCCAGGATCGAAAAGATGGCGAACCCAGAGATGAAGCTGGTGATGCAGTTGATGGTGCTGGTCAGAAGGGCATCCCTGGGGGGAAGGGGGGGCGGCGAGAAACACTGCTTGCTCAAATCTGCTGACCCTGCCCACTGCACCCTGGGCCAGCCGTGCCATCTGCAGTCTGGATATAGCTTCAAATGCTCCCCTCCCCTGGTTGGTTTCCCTGCCTCCGCCACTTGATCCCCAGGGCCCCACCAGCATTGTGTCAGCACCTGCTGGTGCAGGAAGCAAGCTAATTGCTTGCAGATGGAATCGTTTGATATTGGAATCTGGTCTCAAACTCACTTGTTAGACTATTCATTCACCAGCTTTGTTCCTCAACACACTTCCCACAATGCTATGATGACCCAAAGCCCCTTCCAGGAGGACCTTCCATGACTCCTGTATCAGAACTCTTGGTAGAAACCAACTCCCTCAACATACTGATCCACACACAAGCCACCTCCGTGCCTCTGATGTCCCCCTCGTGAGAATGCTGTCCGTTCCACGTCTGCCCGACAAAGTCCTAACTACGTTGCAAGGCCCGCTTCAAATTCACCTCCATGCTTTCTCTGGTCCCCGTTCAGTAGGCTTCTTAACCACCTGTCCCTGTGTATCCATTGGCGAGCAGCATGCATGGATCCACATCTGTGTCCACTGAAGCCCTCAGGGCCCCAGGCCTGAGGAAGGCTGTGTGAATGCTTACTATTCTGAGGCAGGCCAGAGCCTTCCATCTCTGCTGCCCCGTCTCAGAGGTCCAGCCTGCCCTGCGCTCTTACGTCAGACCCTGCTGGATCCTTACCCTCATGCAATCAGCCTGAACATTCTCTTCCTGTCTGCCTGAGCAGCCGATAGACAGAGCCAGGCAGTGCTGACTTCTCTAAAAGCCACACTGTCCCTCCATCCTCGCTTCCCCCGTGACCTCAGTACCCATGACACTCGACATTCCCCATCCTGCACCTTGCGACTGTCTTAGCAGCATCTTGAACTGAAATCCGCCCTCCGTGCTGCCACACACCATGGTCACAGAACGCCCAGGGAAGTTCCCGTTGTCCATTTCACAGAGGAAGTGACCTCGGAGGAAACTGGCTTGCCCAACATGGTGAAGCAAGACTCCAGCAGGGCAGGGAATGGAGCCAGTCCCGTTAGCTCCCAAACCATAGCCCTCTCTCCCTTTCCTGGCAGGGGCCTGCCCAGGGTTTAGAACTTTCCAGAGCCCCGTGGCATAGCTCACCGGTAACAGTTGTTGTCGAATTTGTTGTAACTGGCAAATGCGATCAAGACTCCAAATCCAGCCCCCAAAGAGAAGAATATCTGTGTTGCCGCATCGATCCACACCTGAAACCAGGAAGCAGACCTGCCCTCGGCATCTCCCGGAACGCTAAGGGATGCTCTGAGCCCTGACGAAGTGTGGCCTCATCAGAGATGGGTAGCCACAGGAAGTCCCTGCCCTCCCCCCACCCCCACCCCCAATTCAATCTGTACAAAATAAGCCTTGGTGCAGTCAATCAATGTGTCCAGCTGCAAACCAAAAGGTTGGAGGTTCAAGGCCTCTCTGAGGCATCTCAGAAGAAAGACCTGGTGAGAATCAGTCAAAAGAAGCCAGCCAGAGGGGGCGGGGGGTGGGGGATGGGAAGGGGGGACTCCATGGGGCTCAGACATCATGAGACATAAGGGCTCAGTGGCTGCTGGCTAGTGGCCAAGCACTCAGCCCAGATGACCCCCCTGGTGCCACGTGATGTCCTGACTTTGAAATAATGTCAATAAGGGAGACGTTCTGGTCTTAAAGGTAGATGGGAGAAAGGCAACGGAAAGGCGTCCACAAAAATCCTGGTAGGTTTCTACCCTTCCAGACAGGAGTGACGCCCTGTGGGTCAAGGCTGGAATATTAAGTCTGCCTGTGGGGTGGGGGTCGCCTTGTGTGAGTAGAAGCCTAGAGACCTGAGACTTCTCCAGCCTCTCCGCCTCAGAATGTGTCACTGTTGCCATGTGCATCAAGTCCATTCTGACGCACGGTGACCCACACGACAGAGGACAGCTGCCCCGTGGGCTATAATCGCTATCGGAGCAGGTCACCGTGTCTTTCAGCCCGTGGAGTGGTTGCTGCTTCCAACTGCTGACCCTGCAGTTGGTAGCTGAGCACTTAGCCGCTGTCCCACCAGGCGCCTGGCCTCGTGATCCATGCCAGGTCAAGTTCACCACTCTAGGTCTCAGACATGCTCACAGGAGTAACCTGGACTCATGGCTACAATGCAGATCTGTGCGAGTTCAGTCATTTCCACCCTTTGTGCTGTCCCAGGCTCCCCTGCTGTTTTGAGGACAGGGTATAGCTAGAGGGGCCATCTGTTAACAGAATCGGGGTTTAATTTCTCCATGTCTGAAAGACTTGGGGTATTCGGACCATAGAACAAATGGCACTCTGAGGTTCTGAGGTGTTTCACGATTGACCTGGCAGGTGTAGCCAAGACACTGGGTTTGCCTCTGGCCCCAACTTCACTGTGCTGCTCTGAGCCCCACTCCTAAGTTCACCTCACTTGCATGCAGAATTGAGGAGCTGAGGAGGCAGTGGGGGGCAAGAGTCAGCAGGTTCAAACTCTTCCTGGTGGCTAATGCTGCTCGGTAGGCTGATGTCACAGGATAGTGGCAACGGCCAGGGCTGGGGTCTAGAGGTTGAAGCGGGGCTGGAGTGGCTATGGGGACAGGGCAGATGTGAGGAGACCCAGGACATCTCCATCACAAAGTGTGGATCTCTTTGAGTCAAGGGGTCATGGTGGCCACTAAATAATAGAACCTCAGGATTCTAAACCAGCAGAGCTGAATAGGCGGACACCTTCAGGTCAGGGGACCAAGATGAGGCCCAGGGAGGAAACAGTCCCATGCAAGGCTACCCGGCTCGTATGTGGCAAAGCTGGGACCAGAGTGCCATCACTTCAGACCCTGAGAGTCATGACACCACCCCCATCACCCATCACCTGGCCCAAGGGCTGGTCCCTGGCACTGACCGTGGCTTCTTTTAGGCGGTAGAAGTCGATGTGCAGGTAGGCGTTGATGCCGTTGGAGGCTCCCGGCAGCGTGACACCGTGGACCAGCAGCACAAACAGCACGAGGTAAGGCAGCGTGGCCGTTATCCACACCACCTGGGCAGTGACAAGCTCTCCATGAACGCCCCCCTCTATCCCACCCGCCGTCACTAGTCTCCAGTCATGCCCTCCCTCCACTTGCTTCCTCACAGAGAACATGCTCCAAACATCCTCTCCAGTCAAGGCCTGGGGCAGACTCTGGACACAGAACAGTGAGCGAACCGCTAGTCTCCTCCAGACGCCCAGAGGCTAGTGGGAGAGGCCGCTGCAGTAGCATGGCACCATGCTGGGAGCCTGAGATGCAGAGGGAAGACTGGGGTCTCACTGCCATGCCTCTTCCTCTACAAAGCCACTGTTCCTAAGCCTTCAAGTTGCCTCAGTAGAGTTCAACACACCCACTTTGCGCTCCCTGCCTTCCATCACACCCCACCAGGATTGGCTGCTGCAGCAGTGGTCTCGCTGGGAAGAGACTATTCAGAGATTTCTCCTCTCTGCTTATTCTCCTCTGAC